TTACGGTCAAGGAAGGATTAGCACCCTTGAACTGCCCTTTCGGTACTACGTAATTTCCAGTTGTTTTTAATTAAGAAAATCGAAAGTTAAAATTTAAAGGTAACATATGATCCAAAATTACTTACCTCCGATCAATTTGAAAGAGTACCCTTAAAAAGTCGAGAAACGCGTTAAAGGAAAAAGGAAATAAGAGTAAATGAAATAAAGAAAATAGAAGGGAAAAATAAAAAAAATGATGAAAAACTAAAAGAGGAATAAAATATATAATTATTAAGTGCAAAATAATAATAATGATAATAAGTAGTAAAATAAAAAACGCAATCACACCAAAAGAAAGTAAAAAAGAAAGTCAAGGTTTGGTGAAGTATAACTGTCGGGAAGGAAAAAGACGATAAGGGGTAGGACCGTAGTTAATAAATGAGTGTGATGTATCCCTATAATATAGTAAGAATAAATAAACAAAAAAACATTATGATATAATATATATATATAATATAATAACAAAAAAAATAATTTAATAAAGTAAAATAATAATAATGTAATATAATATAAATACATGAAAACAAAAAAATAAAGAAGTATAAAATATAAAAATATAATTAAATGTATATATAGCATATGTTTAAAAAAAGTAAAAATAAAAATAAAATACAATAAAAAATATACATATAATGATAATAATAGTAGCAAATAGAAAAATATATTTATACGTTAATAGTAAAATAATAATAGTAGCAAAAGAGAAAAATATATTTATATACGTTAATAGTAAAATAATAATAAATATAATAGTTATAAATATATATATATATGATAACTATAAAAAACATTAAAATAATATTAGAATAAAAATAATTAATATATATATACTTAATAATACGAATTATCAAAAAAAAAAATAAAATATGAAAATAATACATAAGGGACCGTTCATCGGCGGCAAACCTCGAAAAAAAATTGATTTTTAAAATCCTTTCCTTCCCTCGTTTTAAATATTCTAGTATTTTTCCAAAACGACCTCGGGGTTGTGTAGATCTAAAAGAAAAGTTTCGAACGACAACCCCTTTTCCTCGGCCAAAACTATTTTTTTTTCAAGCACAAAGACGAATAACAACACATGCAAGTGAAGAAAAGAATGCGAAAGGTAAAAGCTTTCACCTTTTATTGCTCCTGAATTGTTTACAATAGCTTCAAGACAATCTATTTGCTCGTATTTTTTTATGGTAATTTCGTATGCCCATTGTGTGTTACAATAGTGAGCTACAATGGCTATTTATAGTGCTTGTGGATCCTATCTTTAGGAGTTTAAAACATAGCAAAATTCTATCCTATTTTAGGAGTTGAATCCTAGCAGAATTCTATCATATTTTTGAGAGTTTGAATCCTAATAGGACGAAAAAGTTGTGTTGACAGAACTATAAGAGACAGGCAGTCCAACAATGGACTGCTGCCTTTCCTCCTTTCATTGAAGTCGAATAGCTAAGTAATCACTGAGAGAATCTATAGCTGAAGAACTACAGCTACTCTACTGTAATAAATCGAGGCTTTATGGATGTCTTAAGAAACTAGCTTTAGGTGTTGATGGCCCTGTCTATGCATGGGCTTATCTTTTTGTGAGACCTCGATGAATGATTAAATAAGAACACACCGATTTCGGATTTCGTACTAAATGTTTCGTTTGTGAGCTTCAAAGAGTAAAACAGATAACACCTGAAAGGAAAGCGCATCAAGGATCAACATATACCGTTCTTGCATTTGCAAATCAAGAAAAATGAGGAAAAAACAGCTTAGATTGGCTTTAACATGCTGAGTTTAACTTAAAGGTCATTGATGAAGCAACTACAACCTTATCAAATCTAAAAGTTAAACTAGCATATACATCGATAACTAGCATACCACTCGTGGATGTACGATTTACTCCGGCCGCAAGCGAATTTCTAATAGGGTAAACTACGTCAATGGTCACTGATGTTTGGGTAAGTTTTCGTTTTCACCACTAATGTTTCAAAAGTTACAAATCGGTCACTAACGTTATCATTTGTGACAAAATGATCACTAGCCGTTAACAGCCGTTAAGAGGCGTGACGAAAAATACAGCTGGACCATTATTTGCTGAGTTGGATCGTTGACCGCCATTTTGACTGGCTCTTCTTCTTCTTCAACCCATTCCACATCTTCTTTTACTTCACTTTTATTCTTCTTTCTTTCTCTTCACTTTTCTGCACTTTTCTTCTTTTCCTCTTATCACACACATGACACAATCCTCTTATCACTCTCAAGGCTCATCATTCCCATGCTTCAAAGGCATGCCTGGGGACAAAGATCCGTCCAAAGTTCTCCATAGAAGTGGTATTTCTCCTAAGTTTCTTTGCCATTGCTCTATGGAGCTGCCTGCTATTTTCCGAGTTGGATATATGAATGTACTGTGTTTAAAATATTTTCAAACTTTGCTTGCTGTTTGGTGAAGGATCCGTCCGAAAAAAGGAAAGTATTATGTGATGAAAAGTTGAAAGAACGCTTCCATGTCGAAACGTTCCATGGCTTCACTGTGACAAAACTCTTAGTTGCTCATTTTCAAAAGACATGACATCATAGTACGAGCCCTATGCTCCGATATTTGTTGCTGTAAATCTCAAGAAAGAAGATACTTGAAGAAGAGCCACACATCATACAGAATTCTTCCAAGATTTTGATTATGCGAGAATAAATGCAAGAAATCCTATTCAATGTTAAAACAAAAACCAATCAGTACCCAACACCCGCCCACCGATTAATCAACCAGTCCTTATCTCTATCACGTACTGTTAGATTATACAACCCATCATTCATCCCAAAATTAATTTTTATGAAAAATTAATCTTTTACCAATAAAGTTGTAAGAAAAGAGAAGTCAGAGAAGAACTTTACACTGGAGCAAGAAAGAAGGGCACTGGCTCTCTAGCAATGTACGGAATTCCAAGCAAATTACAGTGAAAGTGCTGACGCATGCTCCCACGCCCTTAGCACGCGCATAGCCATCTGCTGTATATCCGGCATTAAGCTCGTTGCAGCATCCGACTAAGTTCAGCTCAGGTTATGCTATTAGATGATCCAACAGAGTCAAGTTGAAGTCACCAGGAATTGAGAACACGTCTTTCACACCGATCTCCACGATCCTCCTTACCAGGTGGCACCCCAGGGTGCCACTCGAGGCATCTCCGCGGACTGGGGTGTAAGGAACTGGGATGAGCTGTCGAACCGATTTTATTACCGACTTCCATGCAGTAAAATTTTTCAAGAAGAAGGTGGTGGTTGGAATAGTGCCTATGGTGAGTTCTTCCCTGGTATTCTCAGATGCTGTTGGAACACGGTGAGAGAATTCTATCGTCTGCGACATCGGTTTTTGACGGAAAAGGTTTGAAGATCTCTGTGAAAATTGCTAAAGTCCACTGGCATTACGGAACCCGATCCCATGCTCCTGAACTCACAGCAGGGTACTATAACACAAGGTACTGAGATGGTTACCTCTCGATTGCTCAAATGCTAGCACGCCATAGTGTCGTTTTCAACTTCACTTGCATAGAGATACGTGATCACGAGCAGCCTCAAGATGCACTATGTGCACCTGAGAAGCTGGTGAAGCAAGTAGCTTTTGCTACTGCATCAGTGCAAATTCCACTTGCCGGGGAGAATGCACTTCCCTGTTACAATAAATAAGCCCTCGAGAAGATCTTACAAGCATCATCTTTGGATGTTGATGGCTCTTCGTTCGATAGAGAGATGTGTGCATTCACGTACTTGAGGATGAATCCATCGTTGTTTCATCCAGAAAACTGGAGACGATTTGTTGGATTCGTGAAGAAGATGAACGAGGGGAAAGGTGAAGAAAAAGAAGATGGGGAATAGGTTGAAGAAGAAGAAAAGCCAGTCAAAATGACGGTCAACAATCCAACTCAGCAGATAACGGTCCAGCTGTATTTTTCGTCACGCCTATTAACGGCTGTTAACGGCCAGTGACCATTTTGTCACAAACGATAACGTTAGTGACCTATTTGTAACTTTTGAAACATTAGTGATGAAAACAAAAACTTACTCAAACATCAGTGACCATTGGTGTAGTTTACCCTTTCTAATAATAACAGAAAATGGAATTCATTCTGTTCTCAGCATAGTTTTTATGAGCTTCAAAGAGCAGTATAAATCAACAAATATGTAAGTGAAGTAAACCAAATAATCATCTGGCACCAGTGGAATGAGTTTCATGCAGAATGGACATCAGAATGGTTGCATAAAAAGCTTACATCCATGATCCATGTGAAAAAATTCATATAGACACCAAGGCAAAAACTATCACCATGTTAAAGCAATCAACTCAAAACATTATTAGTACGCACAGTTTTCTGCACATTGCACTAATTTAAGATCATGCACTCTTCTCATGCTGTTCAGCAACAGCATAAGTGGAAAAAAGTGAATGGCAGTGGCATAAACAAAGTAAAACATTTGACACTAAATTGTAGTAATCTGTTTAAGCAAAATAAAAATTTTGGATGATCTGATAAAGGGGAACCATTGATGACATTTTTCCCAGAAAAAGAAGGCAATCTCAGTTGCCAAACAGGCTCTTCATTTGATCATCGACGAGAAATTTAGTCTAAATCTTCTCCTTTAATGAAGAATGAACTACCTCAATTATCAATATAGAGAAGGCGGTTTCTTTCTGGAAGAGTCGCCATTTCCTTACCGGCAATCTCGTCGCTGTCTCTGCAACCACCGTCGTCGTCGTCGCAGCCGGTTACGTTTATTCAACGACACTGAATTTGAAAGACTGTCAAAACGTTGCGTTTGAACGGGCCTGCGAAGAGTCTAAAATCTAGACAACCGAGATTAACGGTCATGATTAAGAAAGCGACATGGTTAAGAATGGTCTATGGGAAGATCTTAATACACGTTGCACGCATACAATCATTATCTTCTCTCTCTTTTGTCCATTTTTTTTCATTTTCTATATTTATCGATAATTTACTTACTTTGCTTACACCAAGTTTCTCGAATCATCAACAACTCAGTGCTCTTCTCTACTCGGTACCACTAAATCCGATGACTTTTGCTCATTATTCGGTCGCGGTTCCGTTCGGTACTCCAAAGCGTACCCAAATTTCAATTCCCCCTTCTTTTTGTTCGACTGAATCTCTTTCTTCCTTAGCTTTCACTTCTTCGTTTTCTTCCCCTTTTCCTCTCTTGTCTAAAGCTCGAAATCTCTCTATTTCCCCCAGAATTAACAGGATCGGACTCAAAGGTAACTTCTTTTACTGTCGGTGTTGTATTTTGTTGTTGGGTTTAGCCAGTGGCGGAGCCAGCTTGGTGAGGGTACCCACCATGAAATCTGAATTTTATTCTATTAATTAATTATTTTACTTCACTGATGGTACGTATTAGTATTTGTTTTACGGACCTGCAATTTTTTTTGTATTTCCTAAAAAATTCTGGATCCGTCATTGGGTTTAGCTAATGTTTATAGCGGGTTGATGAATTTTGATGGCAATGGAGTTTTTTTTTATCCATTTCGATAAATGATGTGGTGGTTTACATGGAGCAAAATTTCATTGAATGTAACTGGAACTTTAAGCTGACAATCGTTTGATTCCTATAATTGTCACTGAACAGCAAAGGTTGAGCCTCAGGAATCTGAAGTGAATTTAGCAGCTGAACCATTTTCTCAATTCAAGCATCTGCTTCTTCCAATTACTGACAGTAATCCTTATCTTTCTGAGGGAACCAAACAGGTTATTTTCTTAAAGACATAATATTTCCATTCTCACAATTTCACAGCGTCAGTTATGAATTCTTTCAAACAAGAAAATGGCCTCATTTGCATTTTGGTCGTCACTCTTTGGTTAAATATATATATATATATATATATATATATATATATATATATATATATATATATATATATATATATATATATATTTTTTTTTTTTTTTTTGAGCAGGCAGCTGCAACTACTGCTGCTTTGGCAAAGAAGAATGGGGCTGACATTACTGTTGTGGGTATGTTCTCGGTCATATGCCAATACCATATTGTTTGTATTATTAAAGGACATGTATGTTTGAACCTAGTACATGGGGATAACTTAATATTACTGATGTGTTTGAAAAATGTGGTTGCAAAATAATCAGAAAATCAATTTTGCATAGTGTTGGGATGGCAAGTGTGTCTTTGTTAACATCGTTTTTGTCGAAAAGTGTTTTTGTACGGCTAAACACACCCTTAACCTATTTGGTCTTTGCAGCCACTCTTAAAACTTAGAAGTGTTGTGGCAGTCAGCTGGGTCGAACTCTGGCATCTATAACCCTTACTCGATTCCAGGCTGCTTATGCATATAGAGAAAGACTTGAAGTACTAAGAACTTAATGTATGTTCTTTGCTTGCAGTTATTGATGAAAAGCAGAAAGAGGCACTGCCGGAGCATGAAACTCAATTGGCGAGTGTTCGTTGGCATCTCTCTGAAGGTATGTAGTCTATGCAGTATTTAGATTTTAAGAAAAATCATTGTAGAGAATTCAGAATACCTGCCTAGCATACATGCTTACATTTATGTGTCTGATACTGCCATCTGCAGTCTATGGTCCAAATTGAAGTTCACCATGCATGTACTGTGTAATTAAAGTTATAAACCGTAAGATGGATGCCTAGATTCTGTAATGGTGTATATATAAACGGTCCCATGTGCTTTTCCTTGATCTTCTATCCCCGGAATGTTCATCAGAAATTAGATTCAGCTGGTATTTGGAACAATATGTTCAACTATGTGCCTAAAAGATACATGAAAGTGAAACTAAGGTTCGTGGTGCCAACTGATGTGGGGTGAAAAAACAGGTGGATTTCAGGAATTCAAGTTGTTGGAACGACTAGGGGAAGGAAGCCAGCCTACCGCCATAATCGGCGAAGTCGCTGATGACATGAACTTGGATCTTGTGGTGATGAGCATGGAAGCCATTCATTCCAAGCATGTGGATGCAAATCTGCTGGCTGAGTTCGTCCCGTGTCCTGTTCTACTTTTACCATTGTAGGATGTGTAGTGTTTGAGATCGAATGCAAATGCCAGTTTTCTCCTAGGCTTTTGTGATTGCCATTGAAGTTGTTGAAGCTCTATGCTAATTGATTTGCTTAGAAGAGGTTGGGAAATGACAGATTAGCATTATCCATACATGACTGAGCTTTTAGCATAATCGGCTTGTTAGAGATAAACGACAGTAATTTTAATTTGAAAAACGCTGTATTTCTAGGGATGGGTATGGGTCGGGATTTTTGATCCACCCGACCGACTCGAGAACAAGGAGTCCTCCACCCGAGACCCTACCCGAACCGACCAAAATAAGTTTTCACCCTACCCGAACCGACTCGATATATAACTTAAAAACTTGATTCGACCCGACCCGAAATAATAATAAAAATTATTTTTATTCAATAAAAACAGTGATTTAATTGAAAAAATTAATATATAAAGGGTATTATTGTAATTATTTCAAAATATATAAGGTAAAATTATATATTTTTGGGGTCGGGTATTTTTTATCTTAAATCCGAATCCGACCTGAATTCAAATTCTTTTTAAAAAAATATTCGACTTGATCGGATCAGATCGGAATTTATCGATTTTGGGTCTCATGTCCATCCCTATGTATTTCTGTACATCAATTTTGTTTCCCAAAAACCACTTAATATTGACCAACGAAATCGAGCAGTAAATAACATGCTCTTCCGGAAGTATATCTTAAGACGAAATTAGTAATTATTCTCTTAAAAATAATCGAAGTGGCGAAAATAGTGCCTAGGTTCATGGAATTGGAATTAAGTGTACATCCTTAAAAAGAATATTATATTAATAAAATTAAAAAATAATTAAGAAAAAAAGGGTTTTAATTAAAAATGGACTAAGTTCGAAAAGAATTACACTTTAGCATTTTCATAAATAATTATACCTTTGTTTTTTTTGTTTTTTTTAATAATTTAAGATAATTATAATATAACATATGTTCATAATTTTTTTAATCTATTAATAATATATACATAACTAGATACATTTGTTTAAATTTAGGACCTTTAAAAAATTTAACATTTTATTTTACTACTGAAACAACCTCATGAATTCTTTATTTTTTAAAGTTAAGGTCTTCACAAACAAATTTTGTTTATTTCCATGAACCATTGTACCTTAATAGTAAAAGGAATCGTTGTTGTCCTTAGATGTCATTGGTTCAAATACTAGCGAATGCAACATAATAATTGAGCGTTCATTGTCAAATGATTAAGAGTATTTAAAACCGATGTTACTTCGTAATCAAAAAATAATTTTGTTCATTTTTTTAGTCAAACATATTTCTCACATAAAACCAATTAACCAACTCATTTTCATTCATCCAAACTAATAACACTTTCTATTTCAATCGATTCTTTAATTGAGTAAAACATGTCTATTCGATAATCGAAACAATGAATATTTTTATGAATCGAACCCAATCATAAAAAGCGTTGTTTGATATTTTTTTTTTAGGTTACAAATAAAACACTGCATCAGCAGTGGGATACTTAAGCATCGTTTATTCTATTATGGAGCAGAATGCTGTGAACCTCTTCTGGTGGATCTGTTAGGACCTTTAAACCCAGTCTTCCATTTCGACCAACATGTGCTAACGCATCTGCATCGCCATTTGTTTCCCTTCTGATAGAAGAAAGCTGAATATTCCATTGGTTCTTAAGCAACTTATGGATTCTGGTATCTGGTAATAGCTGAGGGTTCGTGCATGTGTGATGAACCGTTGAAGATTTCCGTAGTTCCCTTGCTATCGAGCTCAACCTCAATATTCCTTATGCCTCATTCCCACACGTGAGACCATCAAAGAGTGTCCAAAGTTATATATTGTCGCAACAGGTCCTTTGGGGAAAAGCCGACTAGGTGCAGCGATGGAGTTTTTTGAAATGATTTTGAAATGATTTATTGAATTGTTGGGAATCGTCTGTTGGTAAAATAGACTGCAAAACCACACTGTTAGCACTGACAGGAAAGATAAACAATAATTAAAAAGGAATAGATTCGTAAATCGTGTCGTGGTATAACCATTACCTTAGAAACGAATTCGCCTCGATGTGTGTAATCGCTGCAGTAGGCGGACCGTCCCCCGAGGTTATCGGAGTGGACTGCTGGTGGTATTACCACGACCACGGCCTCGGCCACGAGCCGTGCCGTGCCGAGACGAGACGGACGATGGCAGCGGCGGTGCGCGAGAGTTCCCCTTGTTCTCTTTCACTCAACAAAGAAGTGGGAAATCCAAACCATAAATACCCATTCCCAATAGTGTTTCAAATACTATGTGGGATTGAGCATTACCAACATTCCCCCACTAATGCGAAAGAATTCTTCTGAAACTCGAAAACAAACTTTCCAGAAGAGCAATAGCGAGATTAGTTGCTTAAGCACTAGTGAACATATCTGGAACTGGTACATAGTGATGATGAGTAATTCTTCTCTTAGATAAGTGAAACTAGTCTGGAACTTTCTAAGATGGGGGTAAACTTATAACACACAACTAACCCCTTCATCCACCTGAGTCCTCGATGTGTAAGATATATATATACAAAAGTATATATTTAGCCATCTTACCTCAGGATTCTAGTAAGTGTGATAGAAAATGGCCCAATATTTTTCATAGAAGGCGGCTAACCCTTCTCACTTACATAGGTTATTTCATCAAGTTTATCTCAACATAAACCACCCTTAAAAAGGGATATGAAATAATTAAGAGCTTTTATAATAGCTCAACCTCACAAAGGGTATGATGACTTTCTTCAAGTTCATTATTAATGAACCACCCAAACTCTAGGCTAAGAAGTCATTAAGAATAAATATTCAACCTCATTCATCGGTAAATTTAATAAGTCCTTCTCACTAGAACCATCCAAATACTTGGATTTGAATTTACTAAGAGTTTAACAAACTCAACCTTTCTGTCGGTAAGTTCATTATTTCCTTCTCATTTAGGAATACCCACTCACTCTGGAATATGAACTTATTAAGAATAGATATTCAACCAAAATCGATAAATTCATTAAGTATTTCTCACTAAGACCACCTAAAGCCTGGGCTATGAATTTATTAAGAGCAATTAACCTCATCCTGCGTACGAACATTATTCATCATAGGGATATGCTGTAGGAATGTGCTCTATCAGTCTTTCCATGGTTTCGTTTGACCACATGGAACTTAGATAACTAAGTTGGGTATCCACCATGAATTCCTCATCCAATGGGCTTTAGACCCATCCCCCTCGACGAATCTAGGACCAGCTTCCGACTTAACCCTTTGGTAAGTGGATCTGATAGGTTCATTTCTGACTTCACATACTCTAAAGAGAGCACTCCATTCTTTATTAAGTGTCTAACTGATTCATGTCTTATGTGAATGTGTCTTTTCTTACCATTGTAAGCTTGGTTCTTAGCCACACATATCGCAGCTTGTAAATCACATAACAATGAAACTGGAGGAGTCAGTCTTCCTCATAACGAAATATCTGCTAACAAGCTTCTGAGCCACTCGGCTTCTTGCCCAGCTAGGTCAAGAGCTATAAACTCTGACTCCATGGCAGAACGAGCAATACAAGTCTGCTTTGATGATTTCCATGAGATTGTTGCTCCACCCAAAGTAAAAACATACCTGCTTGTAGAGCTTACCTCGTCATTATCAGAAACCCAGTTGGCATCACAATATCCTTCCAATACCGCAGGAATGGCAACGAACTCAAGTTTCCAATCCAAAGTACCCTTAAGATACTTCAGTAAGCGTTTAAGAGCAATCCAGTATTCACCACTCGGATTATGAGTATATCTACTCAGTCTACTCATATCATAAGCAATATCAGGCAGAGTATAGTTCATTAAGAACATTAAGCTTCCAATTAATTTAGCATATTCAGTTTCGGAAACACTACTTCCTTTATTCTTAACTAGATGCATGCTAGGGTCATAAGGAGTTCGAATAGGGACAACATCAAAACTGTTAAATTTCTTTAGCACTTTCTCTATATAATGTGCTTGACTTAAATAAAATCCCTTATCAGTTTTGGTAACTTTGACTCCTAAGATTACATCTACTTCTCCCAAATTTGTCATCTCAAACTTAGTGGACAAGAAATTTTTAACTTTGTTAATGGACTCAATGTTAGAACTGAAAATCAACATGTCATCAACATATAAACTTATGATGACACATTCAGTGCCAAACATCTTCGAATACACACAAGTATCCGAACCATTCACAACAAAACCAAAACTAAGAATAGTTTTATGGAATTTTTCATACCACTATTTAGGAGCATGCTTAAGTCCATAAAGTGACTTTTTAAGTCTACAGACTTTCCCTTCCATACCAGGTGCTTCAAAACCTAGTGGATACTCCATGTAAATCTCCTCATCTAGATCCCTATTCAAGAAAGCAGTCTTAACATCCATTTGATGTACCTGCAACTTATGAATAAAGGCTAGCACATATAATGCACAAATCGTTGAGATTTTCGTAACGGGAGAGTATGTATCAAAGTAGTCTAATCCAAACCTTTGAGTGAACCCTTTGATAACCTTCCCTTGTACCGTTGAATCGAACCATCTGGCCTCAGTTTCTTTCGGAAGACCCATTTATTTCATATTGGTTTGAATCCCTTAGGCAAGTCAACTAATTCCCATGTATCATTAGACATTATCGATTCTAGTTCATCATTAATAGCGCTTTTCCAGAAACTAGCATCGATAGATCTTATAGCTTCTTCAAAAGTTTTAGGATCCTCATCTAACAGAAAAATTTGAGCTATAAGATCTTAAATGGAGTCTAAATCATTTATCTCATAAATAAAGGAAGTAATAAAGTCTGGCCCAAAAGCGGTTTCAACTCTTTGCCTTTTACTTCTTCTAGGCTTGAAATCATTTTCTTGAGAAGACCTAGCATGAATACTAGAAGAAGTGGATGAAATATATTCTATTTGTGTTTCGACATTTAATCTTAGTTCCTTTAAAGGAAAAGTATTTTCAAAGAAAACAACATCTCTTGACTCACAAATAGAATAATCTTGTAAAA